ATGCCACGAAGAATTGAGGCAGTTCTGAAGGCAAAAGGGGGTCCAACCCGTTACTAGCATGGGGTACCTAATAAAGTGGCTGGTGAGTGTATGTTCAGTTATATGTTTAATTTGCCTATAGGTAAAAACTGTGACAAGGCTGTTAAAACTATTCAGTAAATGTTAAAATTTATGTTAAACTAACAGGGTTGGTTAGACTAAAAGTGATGCTCTATGTCTTAAAATATAAAAAGAGGACAGATGTATACAATTAAAATACACCAAGTGTATTTCTGTTTGAGCCAAATGAAAATAAAACATTTTCAAATTCATTCTGAGGAGTTAATGGCACTTAATATTACTCGGTATCGGTACTCAGTATCGGCAAGTACTGAAGTTGAAGTATCTAGCACTTTGAGATTTTTTCTTAATGAAAAGTGCGGTACAAATTGGATTTATTATTATTATTATTATTAAGTACTTGTAAACGTACTTGGTTTGAAGAAATCTGGTATCGGCACATCCCTACCTGGGAGAGCTGATTTTCTGAGTGAAATATATATATATATATATATGGCATTGAACGTGAAGAAATAACAGTATTTCCTCACAACTCTGTCCTCTCTGACCAGTTTTTAATAACCTTCAGGATTAGTCCTCCCCCAGTCCTCCCCCAAAAGAGGGTTTCACTTTAGCAAGTCATTATCAGATAGTGAAGTTATAAATTTGAAAAATATGTCTCACTTTCTCTTCCCTCTGTGTTGCTTAACAGTGCTGTAGAGTGCAAAGCTTAGTTTATTCCCCTTCACAGGTTGATGATATTGCTCATGTGGTTGCTAGTTCTCTGCAACGCAACCCCTTGTTTTTTATCCAGAATGTTCACACAGAACTTTTCATAGTCCTCCTTCTTTTCAAAAACAAAACTGAAATCCTCTGCTGGAGACATCATCCCATGACTTTGACACCAAAACAGTGTCAGTAAGCTTGGGAGTTGATCGGACGGAAAGCCGGACTGTCACCCTAGTGGCAGCGTATGGTGGCACCTATGGTGGCAGCGTAGTGGTAGCTCCCACCATAGTGGCAGCATTGCGGCCGCTTGCCCTCTGCCACTACGGTGGCAGTGTTGTGACCGCTGCCAGCAGAGACTGCCACCATAGTTGCCGTTGCCACTATGGTGGCAGTCTCTGCTGGCGCAGCTGCCATTATGGTGGCAATCTCTGCTGGCACAGCTGCCACTATGGTGGCAACATGATCTCCTCTGCCACTATGGTGGCAGTCTTCTGGCGCTTCTGCCACTATGGTGGCAGCATGATCACCACTGCCACTATGGTGGCAGCATGATCACCACTGCCACTATGGTGGCAGTCTCTGCTGGCAATGCTGCCACTATGGCAGTCCACTATGGAGTCCACTATGGAGGCCACTTATTGGCAGATAAACTACTTCATTTCATCAAGCAATTGTGACTTTATGTCAGGTTTGATACCGTAACATTCAATTAACAAACTCTGGAAAGAAAGACAAAGACAGTTAGATGAGTTTTACTCGCGAGGAGAGTGCCCCAGAGACGTATTTCAGTTACAATCTCCAACACACTCTGAAAAACGCTCTGGCCCCCCTCGCATATTTATTGAAGGAATTTTCCCTAAGATTAAAAATTGGCGCTATCAGCTTCTAAAGGGAGGGGAAACACAGAGCTGAAGCACCTAGATACAATTTTCACAACATAACGGTGAGATAGGAACATTCCATTCTTATCTTCGTGTGCATGTAGCCTTTGCATGCACACAGGCTGCAGCCAGGCTGGTTTTTTTTCTATGGGAACCAGCAGTGTATGAAAAACATCAGGTTATAATGATTTAAGTAGAAAAGCAGTTAAATGTGATAAAATATATACATGATTTTGCAACACTTTATAAAAGGTTTTATGCAGGTTACATCACAATATTAAAAAAAAAAACATCTACTTAAAGGTACTATAGATAAGTTATTTGCCAAACCAGATGGCCCCAAAACCCACAGAAACCACCAAACAACTAAAAAGCTAGCAAAATCACAACTATATAAACTATATTTACGTACACCCAATGAAAAAAATAAAGAAAAAGTAGGAGAAAACAATCACAAAGATACCTCACACACGAGCTCTCTCTTCTATTCACTCCACTCGGGATCCTCCCACACAGGAAGAAGAAGAAACGTATTCAAATTTTAAGAAAAGTGCTGTCTCCATTTTGTGGCAGAACCAAGAGAAGACTCTGAATCAGGGTGAGTGTTCTCCTTTTCCTCTCAGTGAGTTTTTTCTGCTTGCTTATTTTTGCTTTAACATAAATTGATTTTAAGGAATGAGAAGTTTTTTAACAACTATTTTAAAGCTGAAGTTATTAGGTAGTTCTGTAGAACTGGGACAATTTCTTTTAGTGTCCTGCTGCTTTCTCCACTTGTTAGATTATGCTGACATCAGAAACTCAGACAATCCTTTTAAATGGAGAATTTAGCTCACCTGGGAG